GACCAGACCAGACCAGACCAGACCAGACCAGACCAGACCAGAACAGAACAGAACAGAACAGAACAGAACATACATACATACTGAAAACAGAGTTTCGACGTTTCGGAACGCCTTTTCTCCCTTGAGCCAAAACACGTCATGAGTCACGTGTCTGCAGTACCCTAGCGGAGTATATATGGGCTGTACATACAAACACTCCTCCTCTTGCAAAGCACTGTACTGCTGCGCAAGCTTAAAAGTAAACGTGTGAAACTCTTCGCTGCTTAGCCACTTTCAGTTGTGGTAGTGGAGCTTGGCCAGGGACCTTACTCCAAAACATCTAACTGTCCTTTGCTTCGCTTGCTGAGAAATGCATATTGCAGATCCTCCATAGTTTTGCGAAGCTGCACCCCAGGAACCGATTTGGTCAAAACATCGGCTTTGTTCTTGAGACCTGGAACGTGGTGCACTTTCAAGTGGCCCTCGGCGACCCTTTCTTGCAACCATAGGTAGCGAGTCTGGATGTGTCTGGCTTTACCCAAACCCACTCTTTTCACAGTTCCTTTGGCTGTATTGGAATCGCCTTCGATGGTGACTCCCAAATCCAAACCAAGGTCTGCGCATAGGCTTTGGAGGCCTAAGCCCACAGATCCTCCCTTCACAAGTGCGTAGTATTCACTCTCACCTGTAGAAAGGGCTACAGTGGATTGGATGTTACTACTGTGTTTCAACGCGCGCATGCCGTACATTGCAACATGCCAGTCGTGCTTTTGCGCGTCACAGCGTCACCACCATGGTCGGCATCGACCTGCACCCTCAGCCTTGAGGGTGTCTGTTGCGAGCCAAAACATTGCCCAACATCAGGGTATTTCTTCAAGTACCTGATGAGACGCTTCAAGTCAGCAAGTTTGGCTTCTGTTGGTGATACCATACCTCGAGCAAGGTTCTTGACTGCGTGTCCAATATCGAGTCGATCTTGGGACAAATATGCAGCACGCATCGTAGCTGAACGATACTTCGATGCCTCGCTCTTATCAAGCAGCGGACTGCGGCTTTCCAGCATCTGCTGATCTGCCGACTTCTTGACATCTGGTGATTCTACACCATTTGCCTTCTCCAGACCAAATGCCTGGATCAAAAGATCAACATGTCTCCGATCGGCTTCGATCACAATTGATCCTTTGCCGTTCTTCTTATCAACTCGGATTAACCGATTCAGAAAATGAGCTTCTGTTCGGTCTCCATCCTCGTCTCCAAGAATTCCGAGACATTTCAGCTCATAGGCATCTTTGAGGACTTGGCTGAGCTTCTCCAAGTGTTGGGCGTCTCCAAGCGCTAGGAAGTCATCTCCATGCACCATCACTCTGACGTCCCAAGCTTCTTGGTAGAAGACTGACGCATTTGACAAGCCTCTGCGGAAACCAGCCTTCTGCAGAGTCTCTGTGTAGTGCGTCTGCCAGATATTTGGAGCGTCCTGTGTTCCATACATCGACTTCACAAGAAGTCCACAGGTTTGCCCATCTTTGCTGGCTTCGTCCTCAGGCGGCAGCTCTATGTAGATCTTTCTCTTCGGAGTTCCATAAAAGTGTGCTCGTGAGATGTCCCACAGGCCCAGCTTCAGCGGCTGGTTGTGGCAGGACTTTCTCTTTGTTGCCCACAACGAGCACAGCAGTCTCATCGCCTCCAATGGGGGCGTGCTGCTGAAAAGCAAGTTGGCTGGCAATTGTTCTTCTTTGGTCTTTCTTGCCTTTATCTCACGCACAACTAATCGGCTCCTATAGTTCGGGTTTGTTGGATCTCCCTTGTTGGTGTCCAACCATCTGACTGGAATCGGGGGCTTCCCCGTTTCCTCAAAACATTCGGCTCTCGGCCGGGGCACATAAACACCATGCTTTTCTTTCAAATAATCCATCTCAAGGCGTCTTGCCTCTTTCACTTTCTCGGCTGGCAAAATGCCGCCGTTCACATCATCCATGTAGACTTCTTCGAACTCTGGGTCCATCAGAGGCATCTGTGGAACTGGGCCTGCTGCAAACAAATCAAAGGTGTTCAACTCACCTTTCTCGGCTAACGTGTCACGCAGGCTCCTCTGCACTGCTTTCACGAGCTGCGGTGGGTATACCGCTGCCTGCCTTGCAATGCCTCCGATCAGATGGATGCGTCGGTGCCATGGTCCTTTGCCCGATTCATTCGAGCAGACTCCTTGCAAGACTCTGGCCAACCCTTCATCGTTGGTCATCCAACCGGTCTCCTTTCTCACATAGCCGGTGCCTTGGAGTCCTCTTCGGTCAGTGGCCATCATTTGCCACCTGCACATTGGACCCTTCACTATGAACACTCCATCTTCCTTTGCTAAGGCTGCAACTTTCTCATCCTTCCAACTAGTTGCGGACCAAGGTGCCTCGTGGAGGAATTTTCTTCCTGAGCGATGCTGCTTGACATACAGCTCTACGCTCGTATGAAGATGGTGAACGGCTTCGTCCATTTTCCTCCTCCGGACATCCGGTGCCATGCTTCTCCAGTTGAGGTTCTGGAGCTGCGAGAACATATGGCACGGTGGCGAACCAGTCAAAAGCGCCGGTTCGTCCTTCTCAAGGATGTCGTGCACTTCTTGAACATCTTCGGACTTGTTCAAGTCCCAGTATGTTCCATCGCTTTTCATTTCATTCAAGTCGACCGCAAAACCTGGTCGCAACTTGTAGCGCTCTGCAAGCGCAGTGAACCTCTTGGGCGAGTAGATCTCCATGATATCTACTGCTGACATCTGCATGCTCAAATGAGCGATGTCTCCGATCTCTTGCTCAGAGATCTCGATGTCATTTGCCTCATAGGTTCCTTGAATGATCTTCTTCAGATGCTGCTTTGCGATCTCCTTCTCTTTTACCAAGTTTGCTGCATCTGGCTTCCACCCTGACATACGAAAACGTCTCAGTTTTCTTTGGACTCTCTTCCACTCTGGGATCAAGGTCTTCTACGGCGGTCTCTGCCGACCTCTTTGTTCCTTGAGCTGGATTCGGCTTGACCTTTGCCCCAGGTGGATCTATCCTAAGTTCTCCTGTTCTCTTCTTGGGCTCTGTCGCTACCTTGGCTTTCGCCACTGGTTTCTTCTCTATCTCGGCTGCTTGCCTCTTCATCTCATATCTCTCTTTCGGGTCATCGGGTTATAGGTCTTCTCACCCTCTGCCGCTGTTGGCGGCGGGCTTCCCGACCCTGCGCTCTTTGCTTCTTCTTTCTTCTCTGGTTCTCCGGCCGCGTCTTCGGCCGTGATGTCAGTGTCCTTGCCGGCCACGACTTTCGGCTTTACAGTGTCAAGCTGTTGCCGTTCTTTCCTCTTCTTTGCATGGGCTTCAAGTCTCGCTTGCCCAGCTTCATCCTTTTCCTTGCTCTGCACGCCTCTGTGTGCGGCAAGGTCGTCCTCTTGTCTTCCAAGATGCACCTGCATCCTGGGCAGCCTTCTGTGGCTCCATGCTTGTGCACATCCTCTCTCCTGATGTACACTCGCCTCTGCTGTGGTGGTGCCACTCGTTCCTCCTTGGGAGGTGGTACCACAAGGCGCTCTTCGAGCATCAACTCACCGGCAGGCCTTGCCGCGGAGTGCTCCCACGGTAAGCCCCGCAAAAGGTCCCAATCACTTGGGTCCCAGCGGTCGGCTGAACTCAGCCGCCGGATTCCTGTGCCTCTGCGCACGCCATCGGCCGTCATCACTAAAATGGATCCTGTTCGGCCGTGGTGCCCTACATAGCGTCCTTCTTTCAGGATACGAACTCCCTCGCCTACTTCTCTAAAGTATAGGCGTTCACCAAAAGCTATGGCAGGTTTTCGCCATTGCTTTCCACATCTTCTGGCCTCAGGCGTTCTGCCATCTTGACCTTTCTTGTACCTGCTCAACAGGTCTCCCGCCTGTCTTGGCAGCCATGCCAATGCAGGATCATCATCTTTAAGCTCTTTGCCGAGCTTCTCTTCCAACGCGCTGCGGAGAACTCGTACTTGACGCTTGATCTCCTTGCAGGCGTTCTCTGCCAGACCATTCGCCTGATGGTCTCCTACTGGCGCCTCTTCCGAAACCCAGTCTGCGCCGGTTTCTTTCGCCGCTGCCTCTTTCAAGGCTACCACGGATGGCTCACCATCCGACTTGAGAACCACCTTGCGGTGTCCCAAGTTCTTCAAGAAGTTCGCCACGAACTTCACTGCATACGGCGTCGCTCCCTTCGAGTCCACGAAGGTCGCCGCTAAGGACTGTGTCCTCTCATCCTTCACTACGAGGATCGGCTTCACTCGCTCGTCCTCCACACCACCCCGTGACATGAACGTATAGTCCATTGCCACTGTGGGCATAAGGCTCTTTGCCTTCTGTTCCTCGGACCTTGTCCGATGCGGCTGTCCCACAGCCCGTCCAGCAATGCAATGCCGGCACCAACTTCGATACTGCACATGGCCTGTCGCCTCGTGCTCTTCGATCTCAGCCGGAGTTGGGTCCTCCGGCGCTCTTATCTGGATGGGTTTCTCAACCTCATCAACTAATTCCAACTCATCATCCTCTTCTTGCCCCTCTGGACCAGGTCGGCCTGAATCCATAGAGGCATCTCCTCTTTCTCCTGCGGCGTTCAACTCTGCGATGCCACAGCATTCCTTTGTCGGTTTATACCCTGGCTTTCTCAAGTAGAAGTTGTACACTCCCTGCTCCTGATACACAGGGATCCAACTCCGCTGCTCTGCGGCGTTCGCTTTCTCCAGGATCGCCTGGACAGCCTTTCCAACTTTGGACCCTTGCGGAATCAAGTTTCCGCCATTTGCATCAAGAACTGCAATCCTTCCAAAGCCTAAGCACTTGGATGCTGAAATCAATGGCTTGTGAACATCGGCCATTGAACCTTTCACTCGGCATTTGTTGCCGCTCTCCTCGAACCCTTCAAAGGTTCCAATGCCCTGACTGGGCACCAACTCTTCTGATGCAGTCTTGAATACAACTCCGTTGCCTTCACTGACAACCACTCGGTCCTCCCAGCCATTCGGGATGGCTGTCTGGGCTGCTCCAGTGTCCAGGTTAAACTTCATCCATTCTTCGGCGGATGAGGTGTCCGCCATTCCAATTCCACTCAAGTCTGCCATGAGCATTCCGACATCAGCCTCCGGAGCTGGCTCAACGCCATCATCCGGATCGTCCATCTCTTCCATACTTCCTGCGGCTTTACCTTTGCCGCTTCGTCCACCCCACCTTTGCCTTTATTGCCTTTGCCACCTTTACCACTCTTGTCTCCTTTGCCTGAACCTGACCACTTATCGCCTTTTCCATCCGGCCGTTTCTTGCTCCAGCAATCGGCCGCTCGGTGTCCCTTCTTACCGCAATTGTAGCAGGTAATATCTTGAGCCGGGTTTGAGCCTTTACTTGAGCCCCCTTTGCTTGAGCCTTTCTTTCCATCACCTTTGGCCTGCTTACCTTTTCCTTTACCTTTTCCTTTGACCAGGCTTGCGATCCATTGTCCGATCGAATCGACATCCATTGGTTGTGGTCCTTGGTAGTTGGAGCTTGATGAACCTGGTTTTGGAACAGATGACTTTGATGTGAGAGATGATTCAATGACAAGTTCAATCTCCTGTTTGATCAATGAGTAGGTTGTCAATCTACTCTTGTTCAACAAAAGATGTTTCTCCAAATCTGGGGGTACCAGCGTCTCCAATGAAGCGGACTTGATGTCGTCCGATAGGGTCTCCCTGGTCCCTGCGGCACTCCTCCGAGACTCGTACCGCCTGATGAGCTCTTCGAGCTGTTCGATCGCTGGCCTCACCGCGGCCCATGTCTTGACTCTCTCCGGTTGGAGAATCGCTCGAAGTATATTGCGTTTCCGTCCCGAGGTTCGGGGATCCCAACGGCGGTGAACTCGCCGATATGCTTCAAACCCATTTGAAGCTCCTACCATCAAATCTTCTGTTTCACCTGAGGTTAGGGTGAGGAGCAAGCGATGAATTTGATCAGCTTTATCCTCCAGATCATCGATAGCTGCTATGGTTCCAGTCCCAAAAGCGGACTCCATAGCACTCAATTCAATCGCGTCTTCCTGCTCCAAAATATACTCCAGGACTTCAATGAACTCTCTCCCAAAAGTAGTTATGAACAGGTTATCAATGCTCCTGGCCCATTTTCGAAAATCCCCTTCAACATTCCCAAAACTCTCAGGGCGTCCCAACCCTTTGGTGTCCATAAGGATTTGGGACTTCCTCCTATCTTCTTTCTTTTCAAGGCTTTTAGCCAATTCTCCTACGGCTGAGGCTAGCATTGTCACCCCGCCTTGAGACTCCCTCAACACTTGATTCTCTTGCTCCAACCTCGTTTGGTTCTGTTGGAGTTGAAGTACCATATCCCTCAGCTGTTGGACCTGCTGTTCCATGGTTTCCTACTCTCAACCCTGCTGCTGCTGCCGCTCGCTCCTTTTCCAGCGGCAGTCGCGGGCGGTTCGCCCGGTCAAGGATCGGAAGGTTTTGGCACTCCACGGACTTCAACAGTAGTCCGTGTGAGTTCTTCCGGGCGACGACCCACAGTTGTGGCCTTCGCTTTAGCCGCTACTTTTGGTGCGGCGGATGGTTTGACCTTCCCTTTTGGTCCGGCCTTCGATTTGGCCTTCTCTTTCGGCCCAGGTGTCAGGCTCACTTTTGGCGCCGCCTTTGTCTTGGCGGTGGATCCGAGGCGGGCAGGTCCCTTAAGACCACGCCGCTTGATGTAGTCCTGAACCACGGGCAACTGTGCCTGCCGTCGTTCGTCACAAGAACTACAAGCCTCGTTGGATCCTCTCTTTCCCTGGTCGTTGGGGGTCTTCCAAAGTTCGCGAATGGCAGCCAATGCAACGGTGCCCTTGAGGTTTCGTTGCTCACAAAGTTCGTCGGCCGCAAGCTTTCGCACTTGGAACGGGCTCTCTAATTTCCAATTTTCTATCGTCAATCGCTGGGCCCGTTCGTTGGCTAGGGCGACGATGCGGAGGTTCAACTCCAGCGCACGTCCCCAGACCGCCCGTCCCCGCTCGGTGTCGCGGGTTTGCGGTCGCTTAGCCGGCGGTGGCCCGTCCGGTGTTCGAGGCTGTCGAACCGGACTTGGTTGGCTCACCGACTCTTCTTCTTCGACCTCCTCCTCCTCGGCTGAACCAGCCGCTTCTGAGGTCTTCTTTTTCTTGGTCCGCTTCTCTTGATTGCGGACCTTTTGCTCTTCCCGCTCTTCTTTGATCTCTTGTGGAGTGCGCCCTTTTCCGAACTCTTTGATGCGCCTCCTCAGATCTTCTGTGATGACACCCTTCTTCTTCTGCAACCTGACCAGGTCCTTGAGCCTCCGGTACTGAAGCGAAGTCTTGCTTCGAAGTCGGAATCCGGACTGTGGCTCTGGATGCTTCTTGACCTGTCCCCAAATATTCTTCTTCACCCTCCAAGGCGCTTTGGGATCAACCTTGGCTTCAGTATATTTGGTGTGAATGCCACGGACCTTCCAACCTGTTTTGACACCTTCTGGGGATGTGATGAAGTCGGCGATCACTCGGCCAGACGAAGGCTGTGCGGCTGGATCAGCCGCTTCAGCCTCTGGCTCTACTGTGGGGTCTTGTTCAGGCTTCTCTTCTTCTCCTCCTTCTGTCTCTTTTGTGGTCTCTTCTTCTTTTGTTTCCGCGGTTCCTTCAACCGCTGATGTTGTTTCGGCAGTTTCTACAACCGCCGGAGTGGTGTTCGCGGCTGGTTCCGCCGCTGATGTGGCTGGCAAAGGCTCCTCCTCCTTTTCTTCCTTTCCACTCGGGGCGGCCGAATCGGCCGCTCCCGGGATTTCCTGATCCTCCTCCTCGGAGGTCTCTACCTTACTATGTCTCTCCTCCTTGATGCGCAGCGCTTGGTCCCTTTCGCTTTCACCGGGCTCACGCGCTACCATGAAAACAGAGTTTCGACGTTTCGGAACGCCTTTTCTCCCTTGAGCCAAAACACGTCATGAGTCACGTGTCTGCAGTACCCTAGCGGAGTATATATGGGCTGTACATACAAACACACACATATATATATATATATTCATATTTACGATAATTAGATTTGCCTCTGGGGTCCGCATCTGCAATCATCCAATCATTTGATCCGACACGGACCCCCAAAAAAACAAAAACCAAGACTGAATGAAATCCGAGACACTGCAGCAAGGTTGCAACATTCCGGACAACGCTCGCCGCACAGAGCTGCCGGCCCCGGCTCGCCTGGTAATTCCTCACTGGAGCCAGTGCCACCAGTTGAAGACGGAATCCAAGGCTTCGCAACATGCACAAAAGAAAGGCGCGAAGCCACCTGAGATAGAGACGGGCATTGGAAATGGTGTCAAACACCAAACTAAAGACTAGAGACTGGAGACGGTGCCAGGTTGCACCAGTCTGCTTTGACAGAAGTTTGATCTGTATGAAAGGCCTTTTGGTTTGCTGGTCACCTGAATAGGAAAGGAAAGTAAAATCATTATACATACACAGGTATGTATATACATATATATGTTTATATAGGTATACGGTTTTCTATGTAAATGTTGATAGGCTTCCAAGCTGCGCCAAAAGTGGTGCACTCTCTCCTTCTTCAGGGACCTCTCCCACCACTTCTTTCAATGCAGATTCATCCAATGCTGTGTCCGGTTGCCAATGCAGCGCGCTGTCCGGCATGATGTCCATCAACGGCAGCTCTGGTCGGCCGCCTTCAGGTGCTGGGTTGTGCCCGTCTATGCTAGAAGGATTTGAACAGGGACCAAGACGTGAGTTTCTTTCTTGGTGCGGCCTTTGTACCTTAAACTCTGCAAAAGTCGCTGTTCAACTTGCATGTACCACGCATCGTTCTACTTTTCTTCACAAATCAAATGATGGGTGTGCTCAGCGTGCTCCAGGGCCATCTATGAGTAAGTCATTCACCTCGTTTTAGGAAGCCAATCAACCTGAGACGAGGCACATTCTTCTGCTGCGAAGGCTGCAAGCTCCTTGAGGGCTTCATCCCAGGCTCGCTGGGGATCAAACATAGTAACAGGCACACCATCGGTGCGAGCACAATAGAAAAGGATCTCCTTTCCACCTCAGTTCTCTTGAAGCACTGAAGTCTCCCCCATTTCAGCATCTCAGTTCTTGGAAGAGGATCTGCCTCAACCCCATTCGGAGAAGGTTCCAACGCAGCGATCCATCCCAAAATCAGACCGAACTCGGCGCTCGGTGTTGTTCGAGTGAACCCGCACGTGCCCGGAGATCGAAAGTCAAGCGAGACTGTTCCTACAAGATTTCTCCGCTACCTAAGTGAGCTAGTAGCGCCCGATCGCTCCTAGGAGTAAGGCCAGGAGCCCCGTTCGTAGCGTCCTTGCCCCTAGTGGCGATGCCAGGAGCCCCTAGTAACGTCCTTGCCCCTAGAGCTACAAAACACGGATTTTGAGAACCCTGAAAGAATGTCGCTTTAGCAGGTGTTGAATCTCTACGATGCCCATGTTCTCGCTGGGGCCAAGAAGCACCATGGCTCTTCTAAGTGGTGCTGTTTTCGGTCTTTGATGTTTTGATCTCAAATAGCAGCGAGGCACCCAGCACTTCGTCCAAGAACTTTAGTTTCCTCAGCGTCGGCCGTAGTGCCTTCCTCTGCAACGTGCCTTCGCAGAAGAGGCTGGTGCAGTTGATGAAGAAGGCACAGCGGCAGGAGGTGTCCCTCAACAGGCGCAGTGACCCCAAGAGCACCTCAGGCGCAGCGCTGAAAAAGCAGCCAGCCAATTAGCTGCTAAGGTCGCTAAAAATTGCACAGTGAACAAATTCAAGACACATCACTAGAATGGCAGTCATCCACATTATTCATTGCAACCTCTCAGGATTCGTGTTTTCCCCGTTGTTTTTCCGCCTCATGCATGTCTTTCCAGAAGGATTCATCCTCAATGTCCTCTGTCTTCTTCAGTGCTTCCAGCCCTTCACCGCTTCCCACAAAGCGCAGCAGCCGATCCAGGTGGTCCCCGCCCAGCTCCGTGAAGTGCAACGCCACGAAGCGCACCTGCCGTCGCTGCGAGGTGAGAGAGAGAGAGAGAATGCAGTAGTCAGTAGTCTATGGGAGGACAAAGAACCACAGCCCTAGGTTTTGTTTGACCCACCAACATCTCACATGTCCAAAACAAACATGTGAAATCCGTGCGATTAAAAACATCTATATACTAAAGGCATCTGCTGTTATTGTTCAAAGAAGTTGCAATCTCGGCCTGTCTGTTTGCACGGAAACTTCAGCCTACCGCCTCTTTACATGGTCTTGTGCTAAAAGATGAGATGGCTCTAGTCCCTTCACCTCCAGCAAGATGCGATGGAACATTTAGGATTCCTTCAAACAACATGAAAACTCCACTAGAATCACTAGAAGCTGCCACTAGAATCACTCAATACTAACATGTCGCCTCAGGGTCGAAGTCCAAAAAGCTTGGAGTTGGTTCAGCAGGATTCCAAAGGCCAAACTCTTGACAAAAGAAACCAAAGTTCTCCAGGGTCAGCATCACCTCAGTTTCAAAGCCCGAGGTGCTCTGCACAAACAAACACCACGTTCACCAGCGATTATATATAGAAGGTGTTCACACGAAATGAAATTTGAGACCTAAAAACCGAACACTCACCGTTCATGTTCCAGTTTAGCTGGAAGAGAAAGTGAACGGAAGGTCTCTGAGGTCAGAGACAGGTCTCTTCCCCGGCCATGACGCACACTGCACACCTTCCGTTCCACAAATAGCTATGCCATACGTATATATGTATATATATTTTTCGACTTGGGACAGAAAAACAGCACAACTCCACGGCTGGAGGACAACATGTCATCACACCATCTTAGAATGTCAGCATGTTGCCATGCCACTGCTGACGCGCCACCAAACTATGATAGGAGACAAGCTGGGAGACAGGCTTCGAGACGGTTAGACCCTGGGACAGGTGATTCTCCACCACAGGCTCCTGGTTTGAAGAGAAGTAAGAACCCCTAGGCTGCTTCTAGCTATCTGGGCAAATAGGTCCTAGGTCGTCTGTTTTTCGAATCGAAGACCGGTCTTGAGGTGAACAAATATGGAACCTTGCAATGTGCCTGAACCTCTGGATCCCAGTAGCTTGTACATCCAGAAGTCTCGCAATGTATGCACCTTCCAGTCAGGTACTTGCTGCAATTTATGATAGGTGGAGAAGGTCGCAAAACAGGACAAAGACATACAAAGACTACCCTTCACTAACGAGGCAATGGAAATGTTCTTTAAAATGGACAAACTTTGCAATTTTCCGTCGCCTCGTTAGTAGCCGGGAGTGTACTGACATTGCCTTCATTGCACCAAACCACGAGCAATGTCCGTGTCCATGTAGGGAAGCTCATCCCGAATCGCACTCAATGGCTCGTCCGGATCGTCCAGCAAGCTGTGGGGAACCATCCTGGACAGTACGAAATGGACGTCTGCTCTTGCTACTGCTGCTACTGCTACTCTGCTCCTACTCATACTCATACTCTCACTCATATGCCTACTGCGACTACTACTACTACTACTACTACTACTACTACTACTCCTGCTACTACTACTACTACGACTACTACTACTACTACTACTACTACTACTGCGACTACTACTACTACTACTAATAATATTATTACTACTACTACTACTCCGACTCCGACTCCCACTCCCACTCCCACTCCCACTCCCACTCCTACTCCTACTCCTACTACTACTCCTACTCCTACTCCTACTCCTCCTACTCCTCCTACTGTTCCTACTACTCCTACTCCTACTCCTCCTACTACTACTACTACTACGACTACGACTACGACTATGACTACGACTACTACCACTACTACCATACTACCACTACTACTCCTATTCTATTCCTACTACTCCTACTGCTGCTCCTGCTCCGGCAGCGGCAAAGTAGGATCTCGAGTCTTGGGAACTGTCAGGGTGTCATGTCTTGAAGACTGCTTCATGTTCAACCTCTTGCCCTCATAGTCCCAGCATCCGGGTGTTGATGAAAGAGCTGGAAAGAATTGGCAGAAGCGAAGAGAGCTGCATGAATCCAGCGTCTCCACTTCGACAAAAGCCTCAGACCGTAAATGGTCACCAAGGCACCAAGGTGTCTTTCTGGGGACTTGGAAAAGATGTTTTTTCTGCCTTGCAGTGGTTTGCCCTGTGTACATGTGAGGAATTGCAAGGGGCCCACCCATGCTTCGGATTCAAAGATTCACTGCAAAAACAAATGCATCAAAATGCTGTAAATCCAAGTGAAGCAGCTGTGTAACATCGTCGACTTGCCAGCATTTTGATCTCCCAGCAGAACAAAGTTCTTGACGGCACATTCTGCGCCCAGCTCTGGTTTAGCAATCACCGTCTCTAGGTCCACCTGGCTCAGTCCACGCATCAGAACAACACTTTGGCAAAGGTAAAAGTGTCAACTCTTTTGAAACGTTCACCTCACGTGAAACTTTCGCCTTCAAAGAGAAGTCTTCTGCAAAATCCACACCCAAAAAGTCTGTTCTATCAGATTCTATCACTCCAATCACCATCCCTGACTTGACCATCACATCTGTCTAGTCATGCACCACGCTGTTTCCCGGACAGGGTGGCTCTTCACATCTTCGCCTCGGGCACTTCTTCATCATAGAGATCCGCATGCCGATAGGCGCAGCGCTGTTCCAGGCCAAAGCGTGCACGGACGATGGGCGGCACCGACTCGCGAGGCTCATCCATGGGGGGGCAACCGACTCGCGGAGCGCTCTGGGCGTGAAAAAAGAGGAGTGAGTGGCGTTTGTGGCATTCGTTCACGCACGCGTGGGGCCGTGAAAAAGCGTGTGCCGTTCTGTGCTGCTCGTTCTTCGATGGTTTTGGGCGATGGGAGAGGTTGTGTGACTTGACAGGTTGAAAACTTCCGTCAAGAGTTGTCCTGCTTTTATGCAACATGCTAGACAAAACTAGAACTGATATCGAAAGCTGTTCTAGTCCGTCTGAATAACCTTGGAAATAGCCACTTGGCTCAGCGTTCGTTGAAAGGAGCCACATTCATCGACAACCAAGACACTTGGGGTGCTTCTTCCCACTACGTTAGCGCTCGGCAAAACCAAGATTGACATCTCTTTTCTGCACCTTTCTTCCAGTGGTGCTAGCGCAGTGCTAGCGTAGCCTACAGGACCCACCTCGAGGTCGATAAAGCGCTTCCACACGAGCTCTGGCATGTCCAAGCGCTCCTGACAAAATGACCAGTCGAAAAACGACCCGCATGTCTATGCTACGTGCGTACTTCGACTTTTGTCACTAGACTATACTGCATACTAAGCCTTACAAAGCCTTACTAAGCATGAACCTCGCAAAATCAAGAACAGAGAGCTTGACATTCTTCAACAGGAACGGTCAATTCTTGAATCCTGGAATTCCAGGATGCACTCATTGAAGCCAGTGCCAAGGACAGAAGACTACACAAGCGATGCTTCGTGAGGTGCAATAGTATACCAAGAAAAAAGAAAAGAACATCAAATAATGCAAGACTGAATCGCGGGCTATCCTGAGTAATGGCAAGATTGCAAAGAGCCTCAGGTGGAAGCATGCAAAGCATTCATTGCTATGAAGGGAAATGAGACGCTACTAGGGGCTCCTGGCCTTACTACTAGGAGCAAGGACGCAACTAGGGGCTCCTGGCCGTGCTACTAGTAACAAGAAGCTAGTAATAGAAACAATAAGTAAATAGAATTTAATTAGTATGAAGAGACATGATGACTTCATTCGTAACTTCGCCCAAGCTGCTCGAGCTCGCTCTATCTCTCCCACTGAGTCCTGCCGATGCAGCGATGCAGAAAGGTCTCCACTCTGCCACTCTGAAGAGAACTTCGCCACTCTCCGGAATGATCCCGTACCTTCAAGGCTTTCCACCACTTGGGTTTGGCCTCCGAAGAGTATCACGAAGCAATCTCCTCGAGGTCAACGTAGACAGTCCAAGCCTTTGGATTGTGTGGATGCACCTGCAACAGCACATGCCAAGCCAGAAATGGCCAGCTGGTTGTGAATATCCACTCAGAATTACACTGCTAGAATCAATTGCTTGTTCTGCCAGAATCCTCTTGCGAAAGTCACTCCACAGATTCATGGCCTCCAAGAACTTGCCATAGATTGTACCTTGGCACTCGCTGCTGTGCGACCGCCGTTGCCGTATCCAAACACTTTAAGACATTAATCACCAAAGTAAGTCTGGGCCTGGCATCAGGCTATTCTGAGAACCGAAACACGCATCAATAAACAGTGCAAGTTGCGACATCTATCGATGTTGCCCAATCGCATCTCTAAGTCGGCATAGTCTAAGAAAATCCGCTCCTCGCATGGAGCTCAACCAACGATCGCAACGAGCAACTCAGGGTTTGGACGTGGAAGATGGGATCTGTTGAAACGAGTTGAGCTCAGGTGGTTTCGGTGTCATGGGGATCTCCACATGTCACAGGCGGCCTTTTTCTGTGTGCTCCACATCTTCATAGCACCTCCACAAACCGCCCAACATGGGGACTGTCAGATTGCGCCTTCTGGCACTCAGCGATGGCACGCCCGTAGATTTTCCTTGCCCGGTCGAGCTCCAATTGCCTGACCTGGGAAGAACACGGATGCGACGGATGCGCACGGAGACGCGCATGGAGACGCACGGGAGACGCACATTTGTTATTTTTTTCCGAAACACGGAACCTCCGAACAAAGATCCCATGAATACACCACTGGAAGTTTCAGTGGAGAGGAGGGAATGTTTATGTCGTGTCGTTCGGAAGGTAAAATATCAAGTTGACCCGCACCCCCTGTGAGATGGGGGTTTGTCGATAGAAAACCAGACTGCTGTTGTTTGTTGTTGAGTTGTTCCAGAATTTCATACACGTTGCTCTGGTGTTTGTGAGGCTTCTAGTATAAAAGGCCACGATCGTAGCAAAGTTATGAAAGCTGCAGTATGAAGCAAAAAAGAAGCTTTAGAACATGTTGCAAGATTCCCCCAAAGGAAAGGATTCACTTCATAATCAAAGGACTATTTGATGACAATGGTGAATGAAGCTATGCAGCTACAGGCTGGTGATCAAAACTATCGTGCCATGCCTAGTCCTTGAATAGATCAAAACGATTGTGCCTTGTTCTGTGTCCGCATCTCTTTGACGGATGCAACATGTTCATCCACACAAGCAGGAAATCTCTGACAACACCTCTAGTCCATAGCTGCACCAACAAGCAAACGTGAGATTCGTGCCTCGAACTCTGCATAGAGCTTCCAAATCTGCGAATGCAGAAGCACTTCATCTCTCAAATGTCTGTACAAGGAAGAGTATATGCCACATGCTTCCTGATTTCGAGTCCATCCATGTGCTCTCCATCCATGCGGCCATCAAAATGTGCAGCAACCCTGATTGGGGGCATGGAGCTGTTGGTCACCTTGCCAGCATGCTTAGTAGGTCTTAGTAGTAGTTTAAGTCGAGAAAAACATTGTCTGGTCATATATTTTCCATGGCATTCCCCTCAACCCTCCAAATTCTCTGACCTTGCCTTGGCAAAGGAGAACTGCTTGTGAGGAACGACCTTAAGGAGGGCCTCAGCTTACTCATACTCGTTTGGCACCCGGCTGTGGGTGCAATGAACCGATGGGCTGACATGATGCCATCTGTTCCATCGGTTCCAAACTTGGAGCCACCAACCGGCCTACCCTCGGACACACATTGGAACGGGGAGATGTTCCAGAAACAGACGACAGAACGGTTGCAGATTGAGCTCTCTTTTTCTCCTTGCCTTATTTCCTCGCAGATCAAGTCTCAGGCATCGTAGACAGCTCTGGCCTTCTCGATGTCACCCGTCTGCAGCTCCTCGATGAAGCGTCTGGTCGCGTCGCTTCGACCAAGGATTTCATGGGGAATGGCCACAGGGTGCTCAGACCAGCAGTGTAAAAGACAAAACATGGATTTTACCAGAGGCGAAGTCCTTCTCAGCGGTCCACTTTCTCTCTTCTCATCTCCTCTCTGTGAATCATACATCCACGAACCTCCACGAAGCCCCTTTTCGCAGCGTTCAGCACCAAGCGAACCAAGCTTTCAAGGCGTATGGAGCGATGCGCGCAGGTCTCCTGGACTGGTCGGATGAGGCCGCTCGCTTTCGTGAGTGGAAAGGCCACCTGTTTTCTCACCAAAAACGACTACACAGTGGTTTCAGTTTTACTCTGGCACAAACATGCACTGGCACCATTTGGAGATTGTGCCATCTACTCTAAAACCACTGTAAAGCACCACAGATCTGAAGGGACTGAAAGTTCTGCAGTAGTTCATTATAAGATGATCATTGTATGTCTCCAGGTACCCTTACCCTGACCACCCAGGTTCACTCTTTTGTCCTACTAAAAGTCACACCAGCACACGAACACTCAGAAACGAGCGCGAATACGCGCAAACAAAGGATACGGAGGACAGAAGCCAGATCCTGCGGGGCTAACGCAATAGCACTGGCAGCCAAGACGGCACCTTTGCAGTCGAAGCAAATGAACACACGAGAAGACAATGGACGCAAACCTATCTTTGCAGCCGTTGATGTGGGTTCAACTTGAAATCCTCAAACTATTCCAAAGGATTGAAAGATTGCAAGAGACTCTGAGTTCCCAAACCAATACCATGTCTGTCAAATGCATTGCCAAAGCCCTGTAGCAAGTCAGCTTGACGTTGCCACAAGCCACGTTGCTCGCTTTCCTCATGCTGACCAAGTCGGTCCGCTCTGTGAACATTCTGACTGTTGCTTCACAGGGCAAACCAAAAACATATCCTTGAATCATTTGAAGCGGAAATGGAAACCATGGAATCACTTCCTTCATTCGCACTGACCGTCTATGGCGGGTGGCTTCATTCGCTTCCCCCACATTCGACCCAACCTCCAAGCGTTCGATGGAAAACGGCTCGTCCAAGGCTCCATGACCAGCCTCCGCCTGGTGGCACTGCTCAGCTCGGCCTCGAAGCCGTTGTGAAGGGCTTGGTCCCAAGAGCTGAATGCCTCTTGCCACTGCAAGGAATGCCTTGCCCGGTGGGAGAGATCAGTATGGAGTGGAACACCATTGCTATACTATTCATTGCTTGGATCTCAAATCCCCATCAAGTCCACTGAACATGTACGATGTCCAGTATGATGTCCTTGCATAGATGGCCATGTCAGAACAAGAACAACTGCGAAATGTTGACCAAGTTTTTACCCAGATATCTCCTAAATAAATTGCTGCTCACTTGTAAATGTTAAGCCAACGGTGGAGTGAAGAACAATAGTTTTGGCCTTGACCATGCAACCGAGAAGCAAGCAAGCAGAAACAGCAGAATAGTATGTAATCCTGAGTTCTTCAGGCTCAGTCGCTTCTTCTCTGCAGGATCATGCTGAGCAGCAAACATATTTGACATGAGGACTAGGCTTCAAACAATCTGCAAACCTGTTCACTGCGACCTCTATGTTGTTGTCTGGCTTCTTGTTCCTAGTATCTATTTGTTCCCAGTAGTAAGGCCAGGAGCCACTAGTAGCGTCCTTGCTCCTAGTAGCTTCTTGTTCCTACAATATGACAATGCTTCTCAACAGCTTCTTTGGCGGACAATGTGCACAAGTAGCTGGAAAGGCATTAACACAATGCATCTGTTGTCTTTTTCCTGACAAACAAGTCGCAGGGATAGGATATAATATATATATATAGAGAGAGACATATCTTTATACAGTATAATACATGTATATGTATATATATATATATATGTACATAATTATGCTGGTAGGCAACCAAAAGACATACCACAGCAGCATGTTGGCCCTCACGTCCCGTCGGTACACAGTACATAGTCGGGTCAACTGCCTGATACCGAGTCAACACCTAAGAAGAAAGAATAGAATAGCTGAATAGCTAAAAAGGGGGAAGGGAGTGTTTATTTTGATATCCCTTGAACTCAACATCGATTCAATGTAAGCTCTCTCTCTCTCTCTTTCTCCCAAAAACTACCTCGGGACTGATCCTGCACCAGTGGCCCACTCCCTTCGTACTGCAAGGCGCTCATTGGGTTCAACCGCTTGAAGGCGCGCATCCTCCAACACCAGCAGAGCACGAGCCCATTGCGACGCTTTCTCGTAGGCGCCTCGGGTCCCGCCGAAGTCAGGCTGGAAACTCCAAGACTGAAAGGTCGGCAATATCTACCTGCTCTGATCTTAAAGTATTTGCATTTCAGCCACAAGCGCTGAAGTCACTCCGTTCTCCCTCCATTCTCGCTCCTTCCCCCGCCCTCGCGCAATCGCTTTCGCTCTCTTATCTGAGCTCCACACTTGCTAGGGCGCTAAAGCTCACCACATCGGGTTCCCCCATCTCTGCCAGCAGTGCAAGTGCCCAGGGCCACCTGCACGATGCGGCCACGGAGTCATGTTTGTCAGATCCTGGTCAGTCTGCACACAGGCATCCTGCGTCTGGGACTCTTCCCATCAACCCTCGAATGAATGGCCGTCCCGCACGCTGTTCCTCTTGGAATTTTACCTCCCAGACTTGGGTGACTTGACGAAGCGGCCAACCACTTGCAAGGGTGGAACTGCTCAGCCCGAACTTCGGAAAGAGTCGAGCGTCCGGAAAAAACACATAATAAGGTTTCAAGCGTCAGCGTCTCCTTTAGTCCGCAACATCATGCAAAATCATCCTCACAAGAAGCGCAAACATGTTTCACCTCGTCTCACAGGCGCTGATGACTGCGTTGAAAGAAGTCCGGTTTGGCTGTAGAGCTGCCTCGCCCATCGCCTGGCAATCTGACGAAATCAGACCCGATCCGAGGGGGCTGTGTCCTCCAGATCGATCCTTTTTCCTTGGCATCGCGCGTTCAATAACCTAGGCAGGTGCAAGCTGGACATGGATGTGCAGTATCTTTTTATCTCTTCTTGGCCGCTTAAGAGGCCGAAGTCACCGCACTCCTGCCCAAAACTGAATCCCCCTTTTCCTCATAGCCACCTACACCCAACCAGGAAGATATGCCAAAGAGGTTGAACACGGAGTTTTTTACCCCTATCAAATTGAGGTTTCATCTGAAAGCCAATGCAGGTTGTACCAGTTGTACCCTTCTCCTCTGAAGGCCACCGTGAGGATTATGACTTCGTTTCTTGAGCTTCGTTCGACCATCCAACAACGACTGTCCTACCGCCGTAGGTGTCCGACGAACGACCCTCCCCGGCCTCCAAGAGTTGCAACGCTGCCTGCCACTGCAGGGCCCTCTCGCAAGCGGTGATGGCGGAATTGAAGCCTCCAACAGACCATCGCCATGTCGAAATGTGGGCCATCGCCACGGGAGTCAAACATCTTTCCCTTCACATGATCCTTGAAGCCCATGACCCTGTCATACTCGTGCCCTCAAAACGTTTAAAGGGTTCATTTCTCACAAGGAAGCGACCGGTTAAGAAAGAAACCGCAAGAAACGATGGTTCCTGGATCCATCATTTGAGGCAAATTTGTACCAACATTGCCCAGACCCCAATGTCTATGTGCATAAGGCATGCTAAAATCCGTCTAAGGACTCCTGCTCTCATCCAATGCTCAAGCGCATCTGCTGGAAAAATGTGTCTGGCTGCATAATAAGACAGCCAAATGTATTTTGATGAGTATCTTCACAAAAGCACAACTCACCCCCATTCCCAGAAGTTTACGAGCAAGTCACTGATAACATCTGGAGTCTGTTCCATACTCCACTCCGCGAGCAAACTGATCTGAGTAGGTAAAAAGCACTGCAATGCTGTGCGACAACTGATCTGAGGTGGTCGCTTTGATGGCCTTCCAAAAGGTTCAAACCTTTCGCATCGTTTTTTCCAAACCTCAAAGACCATAGGGACCGTAGCGCTGCCCTCCTGCAATGATTTGTAATTACTTCATGTCTCTCTTTCAGCCACACTCCTTGCCCAAAGCTAAGTTGACTTAGCCATTTAGCCATGCATCAGCGCGTGTCCATTGATGACCCTCGGCCAAAGCACTGATCGTCGCATTGTAACCTAAGTGGTAGCAAGCGCTTGTCCAACCACCCAGCTTGATCTTCTCACACTGAGCTGTGGCTTAGTCAGTCCTTGTCCTCTGTGAGTATACCATACTGCACCAGTGTCACCAGTCCATCAACAATGGTACATCATCATTCATGAAGTGTTTCTCTGAGGCGCACATCAGATCTGCTGGCTTTGCTTGCTCCAGTGCAGCCAGCGCCAAAGTCCAACAATGCGCTTTAGCTAAGGCACTGATACAACTGGTGTACCACATCCTTGGTGTGCCTTTCGGCAGCGCACGAACAGAATCCATCTGTCAGCTTTTGTAAGGAGGCTGTATATAAGAAGGCTGTGGGGGTGTCTCTCTGTCTTGCAACTTGCCGGGTTCTGTCATGCATCACTTTCTGGTCAATCACAACCTTCCCCCCGTTGCGTCTCAGGTGTTCATTCAATGGTGACGGCGTGGCCATCGTGTTTAGACTCGTGGCAATCACTGGTGTTCAGTCAGGTTCACCCATGGCCTTCGGTAGGTGTCTTGAAGGTCTCATGCCAAGATACAGATCTGGCTCAATCTGCTTGTTGGACATGTCTTGAAGCAATGCCACCACAAGGCACCATCGCTGGCTCCTGATTTGGGATTGCTATAGCCGCAAGATCATTTTCAGATTGCAATAGCAGGCATTTGGTGATGCCCTTCCAAATATTCAATTCTTCAGTATGCATGATTCCAAATTGTCTACAAGCAATACAAAGACTTGATGGTGAATACTGGGAGAAAAGGATTGCTTATCAAAAGCACCTAAGGAGCCCCGAGGATGCCCACTGACCAACGATTGATTGCACAGCTCATTACATACAG